TAAAGCTCACTATATGGTAAATAATAATAAAACTAAAACAAACAAAAATAAAACAGAAACTGCAACACAATGAAAAAGAAGGCTTGAACGCAGAGGAAATATGTTATTGAGGAGTAAGATTGCAACAAATTGTACCGAGGCTTTGTTTTGGTTGGTTTCTGACACTAAATGAATCAAACAGAATGCGAAAAATTGAGAAATAAAATTAGAAACGAAAAACTTGAAAATAAATTGAGTGGAATTTTTATATTAAACGGTTTTATTGGGAAAAAAATAATGATGTAGATAATGTACTAAAAACTAGAAAATAATTCGAAAGGTCCTAGGTAGCAGTCATCACACCACTCTCCTCAGCAATCTACGGCATTGATTAGATGAAAAATAATAAAATCTGATCAATTCCGTAGTATGCTGAGAGTGTTTTGATGACTGCTACCTAGGACCTTACGAATCATTTTTTATATTTTAGTAGATTATCTACATGATTTTTCACAATTAAACTGTTTGGTATATTTTTTTTAATTATTTTTTGTATTTCTCAATGTACTTACGAAGAAAAAATCCACAATACCAATCCGTTCCCAATAATGGCAGCCAAGAAGAAAAACACATACACCATTCCCAGAAGAAGATGCAGAGATTTGTCTACTTCTGGATAGAGCAGCCAATGCTCTGGCACGTGTACCAGCTCCTCCGGGGGGATGTCCCATCCGAGAAGGTGCCCCGGACGACCGTCCACATTGTCCATCAGCCTACAAGAAAAGAGAAACAACAAAGGAAAAATTAGTGACGAACTGAACCGAATGAGAGAATCGGGAAAGCTGAAAACAAACGGACTTATTTTTGCAGAAAAATATTCCATTCTGATCAAATATTTATGGTTGTCTCATGTATAAAGTCTATCTAAATCCAAGATAGAGTAAAACAAAACAAAACCGAAGCGTGATGTTCACGTGATCGCCCAGTGTCAGATGGAAAGGGCAGCGTTCATTGGTGAATTCGCCTTCTTGGTACGAGTTCGGTGCCAGCACAGGGTTGTAATCAGTCGTTTGTGTGGCGTGCGTTATAGTATATTGTTTAAAATTGTTTTCCAAGATGTCCAGTACAGACACTGCTGATGACACTGTGAGCTATCCTCTGAGTCCAGCCAGGAAACGATCCAAAAAAGACATTTGAGTGTTGAGATGGAAGAAGTGATTTTAAATGTGTTCAAGAAAGAGATGGAAGAAATTGAGACATCGACTGTCGAAAGTTCCCGATAAAATTGGAGTGTGTTGCGCTTCGATTTACAATGTTTTACAGGAATATAAACAAAGTCATACATTTTCCAAACCGAATACAAATCAGAATCGTCAAACCATTATAAAATCAGTAGATGATGCTGATAAACATGCAATCAGGAGGAAAGTGCATGAGTACTTTTTCAGAAATGAAACACCCACGATAGACAAAGTACTCACAGAAATAAATGAAGATGTTTTATTGCCAAGTTTGAAGCGGTCAACATTCCATGAGGTATTGAAACATTTGAATTTTGTATGGAAAAAACGAGGGAGCAATAGTTTATTATTGGATAGGGAGGAAATTGTGTTATGGAGGAGAGAGTATTTGACCAGAATTAAATATTATAGGGAACAACAGAGAACAATTTATTATATGGATGAAACCTGGGTTAATGCTGGTCATACTACCCCTAAAGTATGGGTCGATGAAACTGTGACCTCATCTAGGAGGCCTTTCTAGATGGACTATCCACCGGATTAACAAATCCATCAGGTAAACTTATATTTATATTAAGACCTGCCTCAATCTCAATATATAAAAAGTAACCCTCGTATTTGTTTCATTTACTTACATACCTCTTCATAATTTTAGGTAAAGGAAAACGGCTTATTATTTGTCACATCAGCAATGAGAATGGGTTTGTTGCTGAAGGGCTGTGGTGTTTCGAGTCGAAGAAAACTGGAGATTATCACGAAGAAATGAACGTTGAATCTTTCGAACAGTGGTTTTCCAAAGTTCTACCCCATCTGGAGGATAATGCTGTGATTGTAATGGACAATACACCTTATCATTCGCGACGGTTAGAGAAGATTCCGACAACGTCTTCAAAGAAGGATGAAATCCAAAATTGGCTGCGATCAGAGAATATTAGCTTTGAAGACTCAATGCTAAGAGTACAGCTACCAAAAATTATCAAGGAGCGCAAGCTTGAATACCAAAAATTTATAGTCGATGAGATGGCAGCAGGCCAAAACAAAATTGTCCTTCGCCTGCCTCCATACCACTGCGAGCTCAATCCCATCGAGTTAATATGGGCGGATGTGAAGAATTTTGTAGCTCAGCATAACACCACGTTCAAATTTGCAGATCTCAAAGTACTTTTTGATGAGGCTTTGAAAAGAGTCACAGCGGAGAAATGGAAGAAGTGTGTTCGGAATTTGATATCGGAAGTCGAGACAAAGATGTGGAAGCTTGATAACATAATAGAGGCACAAATCGAGCCACTGATAATTCAGATTGGTGAGGATGACATACTGATGAAGAGACAAATTCATCCAGTTGAACAATTTTGATTAATATTCCTTTTGATTTTACATAAAATAAAAATTATCAATAAAGAAATAATTAGGTCTCTTTTCATATAATGCTTGAGTGCGCTGTGAAAAATCCAATGAAAATCTTTTTATATTACACATATTATCTGCATTTTTTCCGTTGAACTGCAAAACTTGTGCATTTCACTCGTTATTATAACAATATGTTGGTTCTGAATACGACCCTGGCCAATTCTTGGGATTTTCAATATCACGTGCGTAGGGCATGTCAATGTTTACATCCACTCTATCTTGGATTTGAATTTGATTTAGAATCAGAAAACTGACATGTATTTCTCTTAATAATATTCTTGGTCCACTTAAGATACCTACTGTGAAGTAAATGTGTTACTTAAAGACAAGCAAAAAAAGTAGGCATTCTTATTAGTCAATGGGATATGCTTGAGGACCGGCAGTAAACAAATCTAAAGAAATTAACTTTAAACGTTCAAGCCAGTCTCGAATACACAGTAGGTCGAATGGACTGACTCCTATCAGAAAACAACTACTCCCCTGGCTAATACCACGAACGGCGTTGGATTATATCCGACAGGCGTCAGTGCAGGAACCTACACAGAAAATGTCCTGACGTTTGTTGGATATAATCCAACGCTCTTCGTGGTATTAGCCAGGGGAGTAGCTGTTTTCTGATAGGCGTCAGTCCATTCAACCTACTGTGTAGGTATATTCGAGACTGGTTCATTTATTTAGAAAAGTAGGCATTCTAAAATGCTAATCTGCATCTTACCACCAACTCACGGAATTATGATCATTCATCGAGACCGTTGAACGATATTTCTCTCAAAAAAACTAAGACCGATATTGCAAAAAATAAAATTTTCACTTTGTGGTAAATAATTACTTTAATTTTTTCAACCTTATATCTTCTTCAAATGATTTATTTAATCAGAATTCTTATAAATTGCACTTGTTAAACTTGTCTTTAGAGAGTCATCATCACGGGTACTTCCAGTTGCTAATTTTGTGACATGAATGCTTTTAGAATTTATACGCGCTTCAATAAAGCTCACTATATGGTAAATAATAATAAAACTAAAACAAACAATTTAAAAAAAAATCTCTGATTAAAATCTGTTAACCAGCTGTCACATCCCTACGAACGACAACCCTCAGAAGTTGCCGAAACTTGTGCGAGCTAAGGATTAACGGGGTCTTACCTTTTAAAGTGTGATTCCTAATACGGGTTGGACGATAGCAAGTGAAAATCGATCGTTCAGACTAGGGCTTGAACCACCGACCAACACGGCAGTCAATTCGAGTGAGTGAACAAAGCACCCACGTCGAACCGCCTGGCTATAGACCCTAATAATAATACTTTAATGATAATGAATTTTCTTAATTTACACTGGCGGAGTTCAATATATCAAAATTCTCAACTTACCTAGCTTGTGGCTCTATAGGACTGGTCCAGTTGAGAAATCCCATCGTGTAAGGATCACATGAGATTTAAATCAAACTGACGGATTTAGCCATTTCACCTCTGAATTTATTATAACTGTAATTAAATCAAAATAAGTGACCCAAATCCTCGTGATCCCATTAAATCTTGTTCTATATCAAATCACATTAATCTGCTTGATTGGTTGAATTCCAAAATCGATATACTAATACAGGGGTTTGCAAAAACTATTCAACTTTAAAAAAACATTTTAAGCAGGAGACGATATACTTCATCAGGTTTTTTCAACAGTTTTTTGTCAGTTTTTATGGGCCTACTTCAAACTGTAATATCTCAGTCGATACTCATTCAATTTGATCGACTAAGTCGATTAATTTTGTCAGTATTGAAATTGGATGTTCGGGATTCGATGAAGTCGACGAAGGCCGTTTCTGCCTGATCCTGATTAGCGATGGTTCTACCAGTGAGAAAGTTATCGAAGTGCATGAGGAGATGGTAGTCGGTTGGCCAGAGGTCTGGAGAGTATGGTGGGTGAGACAGAACCTCGACGCTCAATTGGACGGTGCTTTGTGAAACGTGCGGACGGGCGTTGTCGTGGAGCAGAATCGGAACTCTTTTGTTGACCAGTGCTGGCTGCTGCAATTTTTGGTACGTTTCGTCGATTTCCCCACAATAGGACTCGGCTAGGATGGTTTGGCCCAGTTGTAGAAAGTTATAGTGAATCACACCAGCCGCTGACCACCAAACAGTAATGGTGGTCTTTTTTGGTGGATTTTCGCCTTTGGGAGGTGCCTGGGTGGCTCATCGGTGTCCAACCACTGTCCTGAACGTCTCCGGTTGTCGTAGAGGATCCACTTTTTATCACACATGACGATCCGAACTAAAAAAGGGCTGTTCTGGTTGCGCAAAAGCAAATAAGAGCATATCGCTAAAAATTACAATTCCTATCGATCGTTCAAATCGTGGGGCACTCACGTTTCAAGCTTTTTGACGTTCCCAGTACGTTTTGAGCCACAGGTTAGGTTAGCTCCATCCCTGCAAGGGTTAATGCGGCTTACACCAATTTACACTAGACCAAATAAACCCAGCTTATTAACGGAGCCGTTTTTGATTGAAATACAGTCCCATAGGTTCTAGGCAGTAACTGATGTCTGGTTCTTCCGCCATCCCACGCACCGTTTGTGATAGGTCAGTCTCCACCAGGGTCGTCAAATCCTCGTCCCGGATTACGTAGGTTGACCACTTTGGCCACTAATTTTTGTTGCGTTGGAGATTTTTGAGCCATAACCCATGTGCTTGTGGGTGATTCACCGACAAAACATCATTTGTTTTAATATCGATAGACTGAAGTGATTTTTAGCTACATAAATTGCAACAATTGAACTTTAATAGATGACAATGAAGAATGATACTCAACAGTGCAGTTGCTTGTACCTTTATTCTCAAATCTACAAGAAAAGTTCTCTCAATTTCCGTTAAAGGTACCATTTATTTGTCGATGTTCGAGAAAAGGTTCGTTCCCCGTTTCTTATCTTTATGGATGTCTAAATAAATTTTCTTACCCCTTTTCTCCAACTCCAACTACCTAACTACAATATTCCGTTGGCATTGTACGTAGGTCTCTCAAAGAGACTTAAAAATGCCACGGTTTCAAAATCCAAAATCCTGTTTCCGTGTGAATAGCTGAAAAGTCGTCAAACGTTGATCATTCTCAGAAGAATAGAAAAATCTGATGTCATCCACTACACAGTGATTTTCCAACGCTTCTGAAATTGTCAGCGAATCGATATAAATAGCACCGGAGTTTCATAAAAAAGTGTCCTGGTAATGTTTCGTCTTTTATGTTGGTACACTGGCAGACTGTGGAAGAGATGCCTCTGTAGCCGTTGATTTATCGTCAGCTGGCTCATTTATTGCTAGCCATGGAAGCCGTTTCTGTAGTTCAATCCTGCAACATAAATCCTTTCATTAATTCCTGATGTAACGTTTAAAAATACTATACCACGACCTTCAACCGCATTTAGAGGTCACCAGAAGTTTTATATTCAGTCAGAAAACCATTGGACATAATCGGTCATTTCCCATCGGGAATGATACGAAGTCTGTTCAGAAAATGAGGTGAATGTTCAAAATTTCGCGGGCTACGACGTGAAATTTTCTATAAAAAAGGAAATAAGGTGCTGAAAACCAAAGAGTACAGAACTAACAAAAGGCGAAAAAGAGCATTTTTCGGGATATAAATTTTCAGCGCACTGAGCGAAACAATTAGTAGTTCTGTCAATGTCATTCTATACTTCCTGTTTTAAGAATGTTTCGCAGGGTTGCCAATTCTTGATTGATTTCTAGCATTTGTTGTTAATTGATTATACTACCAGATATCTTGACCCAAAATTCTTGAAATGAAAATTGTTTGTGTAACAGGTACGTGGTAAAATAATATAGTCAACGTAATCTCAGAAATTGCCGTCTTGCCATTGGATTTCTATCTATTGGCAGGCCTTGTTACAAATTAATGAATAAATAAATCATACAAAAAATATGTTTTTTTTTTTCAATCAGTCACAGGTTTTAATATTTTGTTTCTAACCAGCAATGAAATATCCTAATCGGATATATGAGAACGCCGTAGACTGCTAGACCACCGGCCGACCTTTAATGAAGTTCAGCTTCATTCTTCAGTGTTGGTCGACAATCACCTTACAAGTATATTATAAATAATAAGCTACTTTATTAATTGTAACTAACGAAATGGTGAAGCACCATTTAAGTGTTTTTCAGCCTATCAACATGGCTTGCTGTCCGATCGGACATGATGATGATGGTTTGTTGTGTTGTGGTGACTGCTACTTAGGACCTACCGAATAATTTTTTAGTTTTTAGTACATTATCTACATCTTTGCTTTTTAAATAAAACCGTTTAACATACAAATTTTTATTCTTTCAAATATTACCTGTATTTCGGATGACTGATGGCATACACGTACGGATCTATGCAGGAAACGACCTTGCACGCCAATGCCGGGATCATCGAAACCCCTGGAGTCAAAAGGGACTGATCTCCGAAAGCTCCGATGAGGGCCAAAACGGCATAAGGAGTCCAAGAAGCCACGAAGAGAAAGCAAACCGTCAGGGCGGCCTTTGCTATCCTCAACTCAGCTGTCTCGTTCTTCTGCTGCTGGTTTGCTCTTAGAGACTCCACGTTCATCTTTTTAGCCTGAGGATCAATGATAACTTGTTACGAGTAGTTTCATTACATTTTGCATCGATTCTGCTCAACAGACCATGAAATAAGTAGCCAACTTTTTAAATGTGTATATTTCTTACACAATATTTGTATGTCCCACTACGAAGTTTTTCACTTCGTAGGATGGTCATTTGAAGTTTGTTATTCATATGTGATACATGGAAAATACTTCTGAAATTTGTAAATAAACTTGATTGATTAAAAGGTTGCGGAACAGTTGCATTTGACCACAGAAATGTATGCCATTTGGATAGAAAAATGCCCCTGATACGTTTCATTTGACAATGGACAAATAATTGTATCGTTATAAAAACGAGAATTATTGTACCTATTGATCAGTTGTAAAAGTTAAAATCACGTTACATACTCATGAACACATTTATTGTTATGAATGTGACTCAATATTCAAATGACGTTGAAAATAATAATTTGATGAATTCTACCAGTCCAAATCTATTTCTACTTCATCCTCTGATCTACTTATTATTACTGTGAAACTTACTAATGGTGAAGTTCTCCAAAGAATTACGCTACGGTTATTTCTACTTTATTTTACTATTTATGCCATAACCTTTATGAAAGTAAGTATACCCACTTATACATTTTCTCCCACAAAACATTTTCATGTCCCACTATAAGTTTTTCATTTCGTAGAATCGTCACTCGAAGTTTATATTATTTATATGTAATATATGGTTAACATATAAAGCATATAAAGTGCGTCCTCTTTCTCCCCCATTCCACCTTCAACAGCAAGGGCACTTCCTGCGGCTGGCGCTAAGAGATCTGCCTTGAATAAAGGGAAGGAACCAGCTGCTCCTGCAGGAAAGCTCCCTCACTTGTGCACCTCCACGGATGGAACCCCAAGAAGGTTGAAGAAGTCGCGCAACGACAGTAATGTCGCTGCACCTTGCAAAACCTTCGCAGAGGTCATCTTGAGACACCTCAAGGTTGCCAAAGAGGGTGTGTGTTCGGCGGGTTATATTTCTAGGAGTGATTGATTTTTGGAAAAAAAGTTTTTCGCTCTCTACTACCTACTTCATATTGATACAAAAAATGTAGGAATTTTCCAAAGAAAGCAAGGAAGCAATCAATGTCAAAAGAAATAACTCAATACATAGATGTGTTAGATCTGTTTCAGGGTGGCTTTTTCTTCCAGTTGGTGTGTCATAATTACTTATTTGCATGTTCTACACACCTAAAAATTAAACCTTTCAATTCAAACACGGGTAATACTTGTGAAATTTGTAAATAAACTCGATTAATTAAAAAATTGCAGAAAAGTAGTATTCGACCACAGAAAAGTATGCCATTTGGATTGAAAAATGCACCTGATACGTTTCAGTGGTTAATGGCCAAATAGTTGTTAGGTTATAGAAACGCAATGAATTGTGCCTATTGGTTTATAGGTATCGAACCATCTTATGAAGAATTACTGACTATTCAGTAGGACGAATTTTTCAGTTCCTCTAGTAGATGTTACAGAATGTTCTGAGCATGTCATTATAAAAACACATCATGTATGAAATTTTCACAAGCAACGAAGGACCAATGTATTTTGCATGAATGACTGAACATTTGAAAATATACATCATGGTTATCCTACTTCTAGCATATATTTTCAACAGAATATCAAAGTCAAATCCCACAATTAATAATGATAATTGAAAGTGTTTCTAAAATCTACTACTAAAGAACTGGTAGCCGATATAACTAGCTGCTTAAAAAATGTTCACCTGCTCTCTGAGAGCTTTCTCATGCGAAAACACTTTGCTGACGATCTGGCTGTAAAAGTAAATAATTGCACTCATGGGGACGATGTAAGACATAGTGAAAATGGCCCCCACGAACAACTTGGTATCAAAATCTCTCGTGAGATAGTCAAATGAACACGCTGTCAGAAATCCCTCTGAAATTCAATAAAAAATATTAGATACATTGCTTTTATAAAACATGTGTCGAAGTGGATGAACATACAAGTAATTCAAGGGTAGAAATGGAAAACATTCTTGAAATTAATCCGATTCAATACTGTTTCTGCACCAGAGCTGAGGCAGAGAGACAAGTTCCCAGTTCTGCTGTAGGTAACGTGTTTTCATTGGAATAACAGTTGAACATTTCAAGCTGGGTTCAATTTATATTGCTAACAAGAACATTTTACGAACGTCAACTGTATCTATTAAACCATTGGCTGGTCCAGATGTCAAAATTTTTTCTAAAGATCTTCATTTCCGTCGCGCCCGACTCGTTATCTCTCAAACAGCGATAACGCCAACACCCTACAGTGATAAGTCACTTCCAGCTCTGTGTTAATTGTTTTCTCAATACCTCAAACCAAAACCAAAGAAAATTCGAATCTCCTGCCACGATGTTCTGAAATGCAGAAGCGTGCGCTCTGATCAGGTGGCGAGCTAGGTGACAGTTTGAGGACGCTACGTGACAATTTGGTGCACTCTGGTTGACTGGGCGGGCTGAGAAACAACTTGACTGGTGTTATGACGTCACTGTCTCGCTGAACCGACGTAAAGTCTACTGTTTTTCCGTTCCATCATATTTTTGAGAACTGAAATTTTGTGTGTAGGTTCGTTCTATATTGTAGATGTAGATATTGTAGAAGGATTTTCGAATATTTCAACTGTTCATGAGATAAAATTACCTTTTTATCACAGTTTCTCCATGCCATTTAGTTTTCGGTGGGTGAATTCATATTTAGTATCAGCACTCCACCCTAGCGTAGCCGGGGTAGTTCGCTAGTGTACAATATTAATATTCTTATTTTTATATCTTCTTAATTTTTCGATCTATTTCAGTTATCTTATAGTTTTATTGAATAATTGAACCTACGAATGAAATAATTAAATGAGCCATATTATTGTAACCAAACTGAAGCCGCCCCTGACCAGTACGCCGGCCGACTCATGGAACAAACACATGACATCAACGCGAAAGAATGCAGTCGGGAATCGCCGGTAAAATTCAAGGACCGAACCGGCTACAGAATTCTAGAAAGGACCGTTACCGATATAAGCCGTTTTCCCGACCCAAGAGGGCAGTTCAGAAAGTGAATCGAGCGTCTAAACAAAAAATTCAAATAGTGGAAATGAATTAGGCGTTAGTTGCTGAGTCTTGTAATGAATAAATTAGTTTGTGATTAGTGAAATATTTTTGGAAATAAATAAGACAGTTAATTCTTTAATTTGCTACATTATGTTATCGCAATATTCATTATTTTATCGTATTTATTATATTAGTTGGAGTGTAGTCAAGGAAAACTAGAAATTAACAGATATGAGCTGATAAACGGTTTTGAACAGTAACATGTCAAGTTCAAAGTACATGTTAGTATACATATATACCGTGTGTTCGGTAAAGTGCACTTTCATCTTTGATCAAGATGAAAAATAACCGAATGAAATCAGAAAAATTTCGCCTCTTTCGTACCTGGCATAAATCTGCCCCAAATCTCGAACATCGGCAATACCGCCCAAGGGGTCGTGTATATCCACACGAAGATGATCATCACAAGCGCCTTGGGCCTGGAAATCTTCCCATCAAACGGCCTCGTAATAGTATTGAACCTGTCGTAGGCGATGCAGGCGTTGGTCATACCTGCGCCGATGCCGGAAAAGGAGCCCACCATGGCATAAATCTGGCAAGCGAGCCAGCCGGCGGAGAAACCTTGATCGAAGGAGTTGTATACGAATATCGGCATAACGAAGAACATGATGAAGTCGCAGAAGGCCAGGTTGACGACGAACATGTTAGAAGGAGTTCGAAGAGACTTCGCACTGAAGAGAGGTTAAGTGTGAGTCAAACAAATCATGTTTTTGAAGTGGAAGAACAGAATATTTACGTTGAGAATATCCATAGCACCAGGCCGTTGCCGATCATGGCTGCAAGCCAAAGAAAAACGTATAGCATTCCCAGGAGTAGATGTAGGGACTTATCTGGAGCCGGATACTGTTGCCAGTGATCTGGAATATGAATGAGGTCTTCTGGGGCTACGTTCCATCCTGTACGCCGGAATGAGGTGTCTATTTGCTGCATGACCCTGAAAAATACATTCTTGTGAGAAAACCTACTAACGAAATATGAAATATAATTGAAAGGAGTAGGTTCAATTTTAGGAAAGATTAATTTCTGGAAAATTAAGGTTTTGGCTTTTTATTTCTCCATCTTCACACAAAAAGATACAAGGACATACCAAGAACTGCTTGGAGGACTGTAAAAAACACACAGTGTATTATTTCTAGCATAAGTGTATTATTTTTAGTGTATCTATAATTAGTCGAATATCATTCACAATATAGTACACGAAAGAGACAAAATTTCACTTGTATGGAACACTGTTATCCTCAATGGCGGACATAGATGTTTCGGAATGAGACACTTGTCTAATCCCATCTTCAGCACCGAACAACATTACAAGATGAATCCACTTAATTCATTCATCAAATTACGACTTCATGTCAAGGATGAGATGAATCTACTCATATCACGATGACAATCCCAGCCACAGGAATCTATTTATAATTGAAAGGGGTATATTTTTTGTATGAAAATAGAGAAGTGGAAAGCCAAAATCTTCCCTTCCCAAAAATGAAATAAAATAAATTGAAACGGAAATATTTTCATTTTTTGGAGAAAACACGTTTGGATAATTTTCCATTATTTAACAAAAATGTGGGAAACTATATGACTTTCTTATTAGTCAGTGAACTATGCTTGAAGACTGGCAGTTAACAAATCTAAAGAAATGAACTTTAAATATTGAAGCCAGTCTCTGATATACCTACACAGTAGGTTGAATGGACTGACGGCTATCAATTGTATTCAGTTGTATTGCCAATTGCATATGCAATTGGCAATACAACTGAAAGAGTCGACCTTCAATTTTCGAACGGGCACACTTGCAGACCGGTTTCGGGCTCATTAGCCACTCATCAGTGGCCATTATCGAACTAAAGTCAATGATATTCCATAATTAAAAATCGGAATTCTTTCAGAGTATTTCATTCCTTTTCCTAAGTTGGAGTGAATGACAAAATGTCACTCCATCTAGTGGACGAGGTACAAACCAACTGCATATCCTAAATTGACCGATTCCTCTGAATAAGGAAGAAAAACTTTCTTATTAGTCAGTGGACTATGCTTGATGACTGGCAGTAAACAAATCTGAAGAAATGAGCTTTAAACGTTCAAGTCAGTCTCGAATATACCTACACAGTAAGATATGCAGTTGGTTAATTCCTCGTCCACTAGATGGAGTGACATTTTGTTGTTCGCTCCAACTTAGGAAAAGGAATGAAATACTCTGAAAGAATTCCGGAATATCGTTGACTTTAGGTCGATGATGGGCACTGTTTTGAACTGATGAGTGTCTAATGAGTACGAAACCGGTCTGCTACTGTGCCCGTTCCAAAATTGAAGGTAGACTCTTCCAGTTGTATTGCCAATTGCATATGTAGGAAATTTTCTGTGAAGATTCCTGCACTGACGCCTGTCGGATATAATCCAACGCCCTTCGTGATATTAGCCAGGGGAGTAGTTGTTTTCTGATAGGCGTCAGTCCATTCAACCTACACTGTACAGGTATATCCAAGACTGGCTTGAAGGTTTAAAGTTCATTTCTTTAGATCAAACTCTATATGAGTTTCCCACATTTTTGTTTGTTTGAGAAATAGAAAGCCAAAAAGTGTTTTTCCAGCGAAACATACATTCCATGAATAACTTTATAGAATAATAATAATTCCATTTATAACAAAATGGTTTAGACTTTCACGGCTGAGGTTTTCAGTGTCATTGCTTTCGAGTTTGAAAGCCGTGGATTTTTGGAATTTCTTCCTGACGTTTCGCTGACGCGAGTGGCTGGCTTCTTCAGAGGTTTAACCATCATGGCTTGCTGTCTGATGACTACCTTGTAGGCTTCGTAAAGCGTATTTATGCCTTGTCAGGTAATCAGTTGCATTTGTACCTGTAATTGTACCTTTATTTGTACCTGTATGTGTACCTGTACTTGTATCTGCACTTATACCTGCACTTGTACCTGTACTCGTACCTACACTTGAACCTGGAACATTAACAATCTTGCTACCTTGCTTGCTGTCGTTTATTCCAAGAGCCTTCGCATATTGTGGATAATTCGCCAACCGCTGATCAGGTATAATCCTTCTGAAACACCCGTAGCCACTCAACTCAGACGCTCCAACCTTAGCTTAGTTCGAAGCTTTCAGCAAAGAGCTTCGCCAGCCTGAGCTCAATAAACTGCACAACCCGATAACTCCGGATGACGTTCCAAGAGCCCTTGTGGGCTCGAAAAATTTTGCTGCTTCAGGCCCAGATGGGCTGAACACTTATTGGTTGATGAAACTATCAAGAACTCAACGCCATCTGGCCAGAGTTTTCAACTCGTGGCTGAACGGGGAGCAGCCGATTCTGAATTGGACTATCGAAGGGCAGACCGATCTCAAAAAGCGAAGATTTGTCGATTCCTATGAATTTCAGACCGATAACATGCTCAAATTAGTGTTATAACTTGTTTAAAAAGCATCTTATACACACAAATACTCACCGTAGTTGACCGAGTGTTCGAACGGATATATGAGCAGAGAGGGTCGAAGAGAGGAGTCGCTGGACAGAGTGGGGCACTTTCAGAAGTGGGTGATTCCCTCAGTTCCTCAGATGGTAAACTATCAAGATAAATAAACCTCTGAAGTAGCCAGCCATTCGTACTGGCGACCTCGACGGCCTTCAAACCCGAATGAAGATCGTAACAATGAAAATCTCGGCCGCCAAAGCTTCAACCAATTTATCACTACTTCAATTATTTAATCATCAATGCTGAAGTTAATAATTTTTGAGTCTATTTGGATGTATGTAACGTACACTTCAGATGTACACTCACAAAAACCTCTAGAGGGGTCACATCAGGTGATCTAGTGGGCTCTTATTAGAAATCACGTTTGTCAGTTTATCGGTTTGGAAAATTGTAGAACTCGAATGAGTTTCAAACTAATTTTAGGTTTCAGCAGGTAACTCTTTATCACGACAAGCTAGTTAAAAAGTGGCTAGATGACAATTATCCAAATCAGTGGATAGGTAAACGTGGTTTCCTAGAATAACCTCCTACATTACCTGTTTTGATACCCTTGGATTTTTGTGAGGATTGGTGAAATCTAACCCCCCTTTCTTGAGAGATAAAGTTGGTAGCTCCCTCTCTTTGATGAGTAAGTCAATACTATTATTTTCATTATCAAAAATATTGTAAATGATGCCGACTTTGATCTCTTGTTCTGTTCAAAAGTTGAGAGGGTGGCTGTTAACGTCTGCACTGTATTTTCATTTTAGTATTCAAGAAGGACATATATCTATAAAAGAAGAACAGACCTGTCACAATACGTCGATCCTATAGGGCAGGAAGTCACAAAAAACATGTCAGTTGCAGTTCAGTATTTTTTGAAAATAATTTCCTTCGATATGCACCTAACAAATTGAATAGTTTGAACTAACCTGGCTTGAGGGTCTGCAGGGACGGTCCAGTTAGGGAAACCCATCTTGATATCGGTCGGCGATACACATGAGATTTCTTCTAAACTGGCACTTGGTTCCAGAAGACTCTCATTTTTATAGGCGTAATTCAATAAAAGAAAATCTTGTACAATTACATATGTAATCCCACTATATCCGATTAAACCGTAATAAATCCTTGTTTGGCTTGTAGTACAGATCGGCAATAAGGATTTATTTTGCGGAGGGTGAGACGTTGATCTGATTTGCTCTCATATATCAAGGGTCACTGGGCAGAGAGTTAGGTGTGACGAGAGTTTAAGGAGTAGAAACAAATAGAGATTGGGGCTTTAGGCAAATCTTGAGAGAAAAACGATCTTCTTCTCACGAAAGCTGATAAATCGAATACAATCGTTATGCTAGAACGAGAAACATATCCAGAAAATTGAATCATGATGAAAATCTTACTGTCATCAAAAAAGACCCAACGAGAATTAGTCAAAATGGGCTAAAACATTTCCTTTCAGATACTTAATTTATTTTCACTGCATTAGAGAAACGAAAAATTGCTGCTTTCGATGTATGCCTAAATCAGAATCACTTACAGTTCAATAACAAATTTTATAAATATGATTCAGGTGTACCAATGGGCTCACCCCTTGGTCCACTTGTAGCAGACATATTTATGAAAAGCTTTGAGACCACTATACTAAATTCCGACCTGGGTAGTTCGACAATAATCTAAATAGAAACACAGTTCACACTCGAAACAGAGATAGAGAAAGAGATTATTCTCAGACCTGACCATGACACATAGGCTATTAGGCGGCATACAAAGGCTGGCGTGGAAGCCATGAGAACGACCCCAACTGCAGCATTTGAGGTCCTACTCGGACTTCCACCATTGCACATCTACATACAAAGAGAAGCTCGACTGGTGACAAACAGGCTGATGCAGGGGCAAACCCTAATCGGCCAGTCACACGGTGCACACGTGGATAACACAGTTCCGCAGTACAATTCAAAAAGATTTCAAAATCATCATACCAATCAGAGAGGACTGGCAAAACGGCCCACCGGTAAAAGCGGAAGAAACTTGGTATACAGATGGCTCAAAGACCCAAGAAGGAGTGAGAGCCGGTATATACGGAGGCAGAGCAAAGACTAGAATCGCACTTCATCTTTGCTGAATTCAATTAACGAAAAAAATAAACTTTAAAAAATATCTCTAAAATATCCGCAAAATGAAAAATTGAAAGAAAGGTATAAAAATTACAGAACCAAGATCGAAAAATTAAATAAACAAGCAAAAAAAGATTATTTTTCTAAACAAATTGAAAAAAACCAAAACTCATCTAAAGCTTTATGACAAAATGTAAATTATCTATGTGGAAAAGATAAAACTAAAACAAACATAGAGGAATTGAAGGGGTTATATTTTTAGGAGTGATTAAGTTTTTTGGGAAAGAAAGTTTTTGGCTTTCTACTACTCCATCTGATAAAAAAAAAATTAGAATTTCCTTCCTCTCTTTGGAAGATTCTCTCATCCTTTTTTTTTTTGATGGAGTAATAGAAAGCCAAAAAAAACATAGAGGCTATTGAAAATGCAGATGGCTCTGAAATAACGAATAAAAAAGATATTGCGGACAGATTCAATGATTATTATAGTAAAATAGGACAAAAACTTGCTGAAAAAATCTCAAATGTTCCTAATGATACCGACAAAATCGAGTTTTATTATCAAACCATGTATTTACATCCAACAAATGTGAAAGAAATCGTTTCAATAATGAAAACTTTGAAACCAAAAAAATCTCCTGGACCGGATAAACTAAAGGCGTACACTTCAAAAGAGGCAGCATTGGAAATCGCCAAGCCCCTAGTATTCTTAGTGAATAAATGTTTTGATATGGGGCGTTCTCCTAGAATTCTTAAAAGCGGAATAATAAAACACCTACATGAAGGTGGAAATAAATCATCTGTCGCTAATTACAGGCCCATTACGCTAATCTCTAACTTATCGAAAATAATTGAAGAAATCATCAAGAAAAAATTATAATCTTACTTTAAAAAATTTAATATTTTATCAGATCGTCAATATGGCAATTCCTCCCGTCAGTATTTTTCTAGATCTGTCTAAAGCATTTGATACTGTCTCTCACAAAATACTCCATAATAAATGTAAACGATATGGAATGAGAGGAAATATTTATAACCTTCTTGAAAATTATTGAGTAGAAAACAAAAAGTTGAAATTGATGAAATTCTCAGTGAAACACAAACAGTATCACATGGAGTACCCCAGGGAACTGTACTCGGACCTCTTTTGTTCAGTATCTATATAAACAGTATGTTATTTCTAGATACTAGTGGTGAAATCATTAGCTTTGCTGATGATACTGCTGTGGTGTACAAAGCGTCAACCTGGCAAGAACTCAAAGAGAAAGTAGACGAGTGACTTTCCCAACATATCAAATTGGCTAAAAGGCTAACATTAAACTACGAGAAGACAGCTTATCTACCTCTCACGTCGTATGCTTGTGGTTTACCAGATCTTGGGCCTTTGAATGTAGGACTAGACTCTCAAATAAGGGAAAGTGACAAAATAAAGTATTTGAGAATCATTGTCGATCGACATATGAAGTGGAATATGCAAACGAAACAAATATCAGGAAAAATATGAGGTGTTTTATTTAAATTCAAATATTTGAAGGATTTCTTGAACATTAACCAGTTAAAAACTGTTTATTCTTCCTTGATAGAATCCTTACTATCCTATGGGATTTTGGTCTGGGGCGGGGTCAATGCTTCTTGAACCAAGTACAGGTTTTACAGAGATGGGTTCTGAAAATTATGTAAGGCAAAAAGCTGACATTTTCTTCTGGCGCACTCTATAATGAATCTCAATGTAGAGATGTGAGACAAATATTTGTTAATAAAATTTTACTTCATGTCAAAGCTAATGAAATTCAACTCACCCCTCATGAACATTGTTACAATACCAGAAGAGCTGATACAATTTTCTTTCCCAAAAGTGAAAAATGTATAGGTCATCGAAGTGCAAATTACCTTGCTTCAAGAATATATAGTTTGTTACCAAATGAGCTAAAGAATATATCTGTTGATAAGTTATTCAAAAAAAAAATAAAAAAGTGGATTGTCAGTAATAGACCCATAATCAATACAATTTTCAAGCAAAAACTATAGAGAGAAAAAAACTGAATTACACCTATTACAACTGATTACAAGTATCTGTGTCTATATGTCGTGTTATCCAGTATTAAACGACGTTACTCCGAAAATGTAAAATTAACCGGATTGTGACTTAAATATAACTGATTTGAGAAAAAACTTTGGAACTAGAATGTGATTAATAGTATCGTAGGTGTTAGATATTACATTTTTTTATCGATTATGTCAATTGTACTCTTATATTGAACTTATTTTGTTACTGCCTTCATATGCACACATACAACTAGCTTTTTGCAGCTACTTCTCTGTTTTTTCCGTGTTTATTAACCACCTACCCTAATTTAATTACTTACTGTATTTTTTAAATGAACTTTTTTATGTAATTATATGTCGTTTAGTGTGAATAAACCTTATTATATTATACAATCCAGAAGTTAGAGAACATAACCTCAAATTTACTTAAAGATTAATATATTCTTGGATTAAACAATCAGAAATCAAGAAATTTGTAACTTTAACATACTTTGGTAAAAGCACAGAGACAATTGCGGTGAAGATGTGCCTCCGTAACCGATGTCCTGGAATCCAAATGGAATGACGAGACGAGTGTGCTGTCGTCAGCAAAGCAATATATTGGATTCTTCGTTTTTCCAATGAGTCGTTGATATACAAGAAAAGAGATTTGAAGACAATATGTATCCCTGAGGAACACCGGCGTTGATGGCCATAGTATTCGAGAGATATCCATCGACGACCATCTGCAAGAAAATTCTTTCAGTAAGCTAAAGAGCCATACACAAATATCAAGCGCTAAGAGCACATACATTAATATAAACTTGCTTGGTTCAAATATTCCATTATATGTATTTTAAAAACATTTCTAGAGGAGTAACTTTTTGATGACTGTTTTGACAACCATATAGTAAGTGACATTGGCGATTCAACAAATTTGCAGATCATGTGTAATAATGATGTGTATATCGTAGTCGATTTCTTCTTAAATTTGTTCATGTTTTTATGTATAATGAAGGCACCGGCATAATCATATACACCGAGTGTATAACCATTAAGTTGGTCGCTTTGTGGAAAATAGAAAATGATATAAATTCAGTTTTATGGAGTTTACAATTTGAATACCCAATTATAAAACGTTTCAAGTATTTTATACTATGATTCTTCCAGTACCTGAAAACAAACTATTTCATTCTTCAAATTAGGTTATGAGTTAGAATGTTTCGAAAAAAGTACGACACATTTTTTTTGTTTTACAGTAGTTCGTTCACCTTGTAATTCCTGTTATCGGAAACTTTACATTCAAGTGGATATCACACACATTGCTATACGAATCTTCGAAAAACATTGAATCGCATTCAAGTGAGATAAATTATCCGATATTTATCTTTTGATAGAAGTGTCTGGATACCGCCGAGGAGTGAAATAATTTCATTGAACTTGTGTATTGAAAATAAACATTAGCCCTTCGTTAGTGTACCCAAATAAACTAACTCGGCTAGTGTACTGGGGTACGGCATACCCCAAACAAAAGTCCTTTCAGAATTACTGAGATAACAAAATTTGGCCATTTTGATAACTAGATATGTTTTTCTGCATATTTATCAGTGAAATGAAGCAAAAACAGCAGTTGAATATTTCTTTTTGAAATCCAAAAATCACCAATAAAAAAATATATGTTTATTATATCCTCGAAAAATACAGTTCAACTATATTTATCATAAAATATGGAGATCATGACATGGCATATATAACTAAAAGGAATATCCTAAAAAACTGTTCAACAAACAAAACGTTACAAAACTGAGAGTTATAACTTTCCAAATAAAAGAGTTACGGGCTATCGAAATTGGTCCAATGTTTGCATGTCATCATTGCGTGCTCAATACAAACTGGACTCTGAGATCGCATACATACATAAAATGTCTATTTTTACTATTACTATTACTATTTTTTAAAATAGTAATTCATGAATGAATTGTGTGTATTTTCTATAATGTTATCCAATTTGGTACTGAAGAGTCTTAGGGCAAGTGTCTTACGGCGAAACATTGATGTATACCAGTGAGGATGACAGTGTTCTATGTAAGTGCAATTTATTACCATTTATTTAAAGTAGAACTCAAGTGAATGATATCTGATTTTATTCCACAACGAATGTTTGAAATACAAACTGAGTAGAGAAAAGTATCTTCTGTATAATTCAGTGTTAATATAGAAGTATTTGTTTCGAAAGATTTTTTTTCTTTCGTGTAATTCAATGTTTATATGAAAGTAGCTGTAAATACTTCTGAATATTACTTACTCACTTCACTAACTTTCTTCAAAGGCCTCTTCCATATTCTCTTTTTCACTATCACTGTCGTCATTTAAATGACGACAATCTCCATATAGTCTTTTTCAACTAAAATTACTTTTTTAATTATTTTCTGCCAGTCTTCTTCTGTAATATTAGATACTTCTCCAAATTTGGAATCAATGTGTTTTCAATCCATTCCCCAAAAATATTAGCTTCCATGTTCATATGATAGTCAACATTGCAGCCCTCAAGTTTTTTTCCACATAATTTCAAAGAATTCGGAACCCATCCATTACTTCCTCCGCAATGCACAATGATTAGTCGCGATCCTTTGTTTGCAGGCATGTGAGGCGTACACATTCTCGAACCATCAGTCCTCCATTTCGTAACTGTATCGTGAGTGTTATACCAAGTTTCGTCCAAATAGAAAATTTGTCGTTGTTCTTGTCTATATTTAGTTATTTGTTCTAAACATTTGTTACGCAACTCCACTATTCTTCTGCTCTCCATAACTGCTTGACGTTTGTTTATTATTTTAAATCTATATCCTAGTGTCTTTATCCAATTCTGAAGAGTTTTGTTACAACAGCTCACGTTATGGCCGGATGTATTCAATTTCTTCCTGATGATTTCAGTTGTAGGAATCTCATTGCTTTTGTAACAGTCGTATATTGTTTTTTTCAATGATTTTATTAGATGAACATCTAAAGGTTTTGATAATCATGCATCACATCGCGTCTTGCGTTCATAAGGTTTGTTTTTGACTATTTCACCAACAGTTGAGGAAGGAATTTCGGTTAAATCTGATGTTGCTTGTAATAATTTGTTTTCCTCGAAACCAAACTTGAGATGTAGATTCTTATATATACATTGAAACATACTCTCTGTGTTTCAATATTCAAATTCATCAGAATTTTATTCACTGGTATCTCTTTTTCGCATTGTTCACCATCGCTATTGGAATCACTCCACTGGAGAAAGTCTGCGTTGTTATCACACTCGTTATTAATGTTAGTAATTGTCCAAGGACGCCACATTTGAAACAGATAACAACAATTTTGAGTAATTATAACTGCACCAATATCGAATTTCAACACTCAAATCGCGATCAGTTCCTGAACTGAACACGACGGCGATAACCATCCCCGATTTCTATTCGTCACCGTAACATAACAATCCACGTACACTTTAAATGTTCACATTATCGTTTACTTCGACTATACATTAGTGTAGAGTACCAGTCCAACAGAGAAAACTGCTCTTGTAGTGGAACACTTATTGGAAATAAAGTCTATATTGTGAAGTCTTGTAATTATTATCATGGAGTCCTTGCACAAACCAACATAAAAATAGTATGAAAGTCTAAACCGGACAGTCGGTTTTTTAGACACATCCACGCTTGTTTACCATCCACTGAAACATTATTAAACAATTATATGTCTGTTATTCGAACCGGTTTCAGTGCAACCTTCAAGTTGTCGCATCGCTCGTTTAAACCATCCGACAATCGTGTTTTAGTTTGCCAAACATGGCGTCGCCGGTAGTTGCTATTTCGGAGGGACAAGTCAGAGGGTGCGTTGGGACTGATTTTGACGGGGGTCAGTTTTATTCCTTTCTCGGAATCCCCTACGCTAAACCCCCAGTCGGAGAGCTCAGATTCAAGGTAAGTTGTGTAGCAGATTTATTATAATATCACTGGCAAGGCGAATGTTTTTATTGAGGATGAGTTTTGTTTACTCTTCTCAAGGGTCAAGAGCTTGGTGAAGTGTTTTCACAGATATACCGAATCGTAATTTGGGCTGGAGATTGTAAACAGGGTATAAGGCGTTCTGTCAAAACGACAGCTAAGAAATCGAGATAGGTACGGAGAGTATTACAAATTACTAAATTGGATGGCAGTAAACTGTGCTTCGTGGTACTTGCGTTATCTCTCCAATGAGGAGTTTCAAATATTTTCTGCGTACTAAATATCATAAATTAAATTTCCCCACTCAAAAACTACCGGGGGGATTTCATATGGTTTTCAGCAATGGCCGGAGTGAATCAAAAGAAAGGTTTTTTGATTAAAACCTTCATTTCCTTCAAAGAAAAATGCATAATTTAATAGGATACGTCACAAGATACGTAGAGAAAAAAAGTTGTAATGTACACTTTCAAATAAGATGCCACATGATATAATCAACTTGATGAGGGTATGTACGTTGAAGCACTTTCCTTTGATTTATCCAAGGCCTTTGATTATATACTCCTGGATTCAGAGGAAATGTTCACACTTATTGGTTGATGTCTTATCTCAGTTCCTGAAAAATATCTGTGAATCTCTATGACACCAGGTCTGATTGTTATGATGTTGAACTTGGAGTTCCGCAAGGTTCGATTTTAGGGCCACTGATGTTTTTAATTTTTCATTAATGACCATACAAGTTAGGACTAAAATGATGATTTGATATGCAGATGACATATCTATAGCTTGAGAAGCTCGAACACCAGAGAAACTCCAAATGAAACTGAATAGTGTTGCAGACCTTTGCAGTAATTTCAACAAAATTATTGTAGATGCAAGCAAAACAGTATTGATTCAGTTTTTTGGGAAAAAGTCACAAAACTTTTCTTTGAATGTTTTTGTTAAAGATGGGTCCATCAAAACGTCAGAATCTACAAAATTTTTGGAAACTTGGTTCGATCAGCTAAGTCTCCACTCTTGAATTCATAAGTTTGACAACCCCTATGCTCTTCATTGTTGAATTTTATAGTTGGCAACCTTGTTTATTTAACTTCCTCGCCTTCTAGCTTACCTAAAACATCCTATACAACCTAGTTTTCAGATTTCACATGTTAGTTCTCAGTTAGGGAAGCTATAGATTATGATGTAGACGACCCCGCCCGGTATATAAGGCCCAGACACTCTGTCGACTGAGACCCTCATGTCCCACGTTAACAGATTAACAATCCCTTCATCCAAAACACCCTAGCCAGGTAGGGGTTTACCGTGAAGAGCGGTACTGATGTGTGAGGACATTCATGCCGCCACCCCATGCTCACTTATGACCCATTTGTCAGAAGACAAGCGTCAGACGTAGGGGAGGCTCCAACCTGTTTGAAATCAAGATGGCTGTCACATGTTAGTTGTTAGTTAGTTAGTTGACAGAATCAGAATCAACGAACATAGGCGTACGCAGCGTTATAGTGCTTTACAGTGCTTTCAAAAAATTGTTCTACAGCGCCATCTAGTGGCGAGTTACAGAAAAACTGATAGCCTAAAAACCTCTATGAAAAATTACTTATACATGTACCAACCAACCAACAAAAATCAATTTTTATATATTAGATAATGAGGTGAAACCCGAAACCGGTCGTCAAAATAAAATAAATGGTGGAAATTAGACAAAAGTGTTTTTATTCATTTCATTACAGTTTTTTAATATTGTACATACTGAATTTGTTCTCATGGAATAGATATATGTATATTTTTATAACTTTTATCGGACGATTCTTATATCACTTCTGTGATCTATGGTTAATAAATAATTTGAATTGAATTGAATTGATAACCGAAAAACAGCTACACCAATATGAATTGGTTATAGCAAGCATTGGTTGCACTTTGTGAAAATTTACCAACACATGCTATTCACGAGTTCATTTTGTTTTCTATTGACGCGTGGGAGGGCCACACATCTTTATTATTTGGTTCTTGAGAATACGGACTTTAAATTAGAGTGCCTTGAAGATTTTTCTGTAGTGCTTGTTTTTTGTCTTGAAAAAAATCAAAATAACGACTTTAATTTCGTCGAAATTACGACTACATTCTCGAAATTTCGAAGTTACGACTTTCATCTTGAAATTACGAGTCTCAACTCGAAATTGCGACTTTAATTTCGCCTTTGAACTTGAAATTACGACTTCGGACTTGAAATTTCGACTTGAATCTGGAAATTACGACTGTGAAATTTAATATAGAACTGCTCAAACTTTTGCAGAAATTGCTTTTTTATATTAGAACCGACAGACTTTTCTTCTCGACAAGTGTTTTTATTCACATACAAATCATATAAATAAAACTGACGACAAAAAGGGCAAAATGTTATCAACTGATAATATAAGTTAGATACCTACAGAACAATTAGGGTGTTCTGTGACTGTGTACTTTACTTCGTTTAAGAAATTGATAGATTCTCGTAATCTTCTTCCCTTTTTTAATGGTCCCCTTCGGCGCAGTAGACCAGCTCAATTCTCGTAATCACTGACTCGAAAATATTGCGTTGACATCTAGCGTCATGAGCACCGATCTCTAAGTATGTCCTTTTACCGAACTGTGGCCATTTTAACCGGTTAAACAGGTCTAGTGCAAATAGTCGCTGTAAAACTCTGTAAAAGCTTCCCAGCCTTCAACGTTTCCATCGTTTTTATGCATTGAGGGAAATAATTCAAAAATAATTACACTTAGATGTTAATTTCATGACTGTCTGTTTTATCGCTGTAATACTGTGTTTTGGTGATATAGCCTTCAATTGTTTTCCTACTTTTATCGGTTTGAACGGAATAATTGATGTGAAGCTCTGTTTTGGTGATATAACCTTAAATTTATTCCTCATTTTATCGGTTGGAAGAAACTTATCATAAATGAAATAATCAATATACAAAGTGGCAACGTTAATCTTGCGTAAGTGAGACAGAAAACCTATCGCACCTCTTTAGAACCATACTGGGTTTGAAACAATGCTCTGAAGTATATTTTCAAATGCCAGACAATTAAAGAGGTATATTTTTTAATGAATATTATGAAATTTTCCAGGCTCCCCAACCTGTTGAACCATGGAGTGGCATAAAAGAAACTGTGAAAGTTGGAGACGCGTGTATACAAAGGGAAATGTTGTTTACTGCTGCAATTCAAGGATCTGAGGATTGTCTGCATCTCAATGTTTTCACGAGGACGGTAAGAATATTATTCCTCATTGAGCCAGCTTCAATATTCGTTTCACTAATTTGCCACCGGGCTCTATCATTGGTTGTTTGAAAAGTTTTATCCATTTTAATGCCATGTATACAGTGTGTAATAACGAAAACTTAACAGAGCCGTTTTTGAATATAAAAAGTAAGATTTTTAAAAAAAGCTCGGACACGTTGATTTCTAATTAAAGGGTTACACCTTTCAGACTAATCAGATTTTTTGTAGTACGGAGGGGTGCGTCCGACGACCCTTATTTAGATAGGGAAAGCAGGTCGAGTGGCACCTTGTTTTAAAAGTCTTTCGAATACCTCTACAACTCTGTTAAAAGAAAATTTTTGTCACGATTAGTTTTCGAGATAATTTGAAGTTAAAGTTGCCATGTTAATAATACATTAGACACACCACTCGGTAACTTGTATGCCTAAATAAAAAAAAATTCGAGCAGTTCTTCTTATCAGTTTTTTGTTAGATAAAATTCCTTTTTTTAAATCAATACCCACTCCTCTTCTTCATTAGTACATCGTTCGATTATTTTGTTTAAACGGGTCGTGTATTGTTATTTGTTTAAAAATGCCTTACACTACTGCTAAAAGGGTTTCAGTTATTGCTTTATATTTTGGCAACGACCAAAATGCTGATAGAACATCAATTTTATTTAACGAGCAAAACCCTGGTAAACACCTAAACAGAAATCACGTTCTGGATTTGGTCACAAAATTCAGGGAGACAGGTTCGGTTTTAAATAAGAAGAGAAATGTTCAGAGAAGGGTAGTGAATGACGATAATGCGATTGGAGTGATTGGTAAAGTCATCGCCAATTCCAGGTTAAGTACCAGAGGTTTATCAGCAATGGCCGGAATAAGCCATATGAGCGCATGGAGAATCCTTAAAAACTACAAATTCCATCCTTACAAAATTAAACTTGTTCATGAACTCAATGAGGATGATTTTGACCGAAGACAGGAGTTTTTTGAGGGCATGGGTGAGAGATTAATGCAAAATCCCGAGCTGCTATATAACATCTGTTTTTCGGACGAACGCTCATTTTATTTAAATGGTTGCGTGAACCGTCACAATTGCCGTTATTGGTCGGATGAAAACCCAAGACAATACGCAGAAATACATACCCAACATCCCCAAAAGTTGAATGTCTGGGCCGGAGTATTAGGCAATCATATTATAGGTCCATTTTTCATTGATGGAAATTTAACCGGTGATTCTTATTTACAACTTCTTGAAGAGGCAATACAACCTCGCATAGTTGGAATAATTGATCAGGATCCAAGATGTCAAGATGAATTTATCCATTTTCAACAAGACGGTGCACCACCCCCTTATGCCCAGCAGGTTCGAAATTTTTTGAATAATCATTTTGAAAGACAATGGATTGGCAGAAGAGGTCCAATCGAATGGCCAGCACGATCACCAGATTTAACACCAATGGACTACTTTTTGTAGGGATATTCAAAGTCTAAAGTTTATGCTACACAGCCAGCCAATTTGGATGAATTACGTTGTAGAATTATTGACGAATGCCGAGCTGTAACTCCTGAGATGTTGAATAATGTAAGAGCAAAATTCGAACAAAATCTTTCTTGTTGCATGGAGCATGCAACAATACAGATTTTGGAGTTCCTTCGAAACTGACTTCACTACAAAGCAGCCAGATGCAAGTTTTTTATTCAACTTGATAATATGATCCTCAAATTTAAGCTTATTATCAATGTGATGTACTAAGAATTTGGAGGACAATTTCATCTCGAGAATGTTGTTATTCAAACTAAGAGGTGGGAGTTCACATTTGAAGGTGAGGAGATGGGTTTATCAAAGTTTAAATAAAGCTTATTTGAGTCGCACCAGCTCCTATTTTTTTCCATGTCTACAGTGTCATCTTGAGCTAGTTTTGTAGGATCTTTTTCCTGCCACAGCAGCGTTGTGTCGTCTGCAAATAATGTGATGCTAGCAGTTAGATTCAGTTGTGTTATATCATTAATATACAATAGAAACAAGATGGGTCCTAGGATGGAACCTTGAGGGACGCCTGCTTTGATTTCTCCTACATTTGAGTAGGTTGAGAGTCTTCCAATTTGCTTTCGATGCAATAAGTACGATTCAAACCATCTAATGCTTCTGTGCTCAAAACCATAATGTTTCAGCTTCCGCAGTAAGATTCCGTGATCAACGAGGTCAAATGCCTTGGAAAAGTCACAGAATACAGCTGCTGAATAGGTACCAGAATTCATGTCACTATAAATCTTATGCAGAAAGATAAAAATTGCATCACTTGTATTTTTGTTGTTTTGAAACACATACTGCTGTGGACTCATTATGTTATTATCATAGAGAAAGTAAATTAGCCGCCTCTTTATGATTTTTTCAATAATTTTGGATAAGGTCGGAACAAGTGATATAGTAGTTTATTGGATCATCCCTGGCACCACCTTTGAAGAGCGGAATGACTACAGAAGTTTATATCAGATTATGAACAATACGAGTATGAAAGTTCCTCTTCCTTTTTTATATCATTCGAAATGGAGATGGTAGAGCTCAAAAACGAAATTCGACAAGTCTATTTTTTGACCAGTATTTCAAAAACAACCACAGATATTCCCGATCTGAATAAGGAACATTCTACTTCCCCAAAACAGAAAACTTTTGGCCAATTTGACCGACCTTGTAGGTCTTACCGTTTCCGAAATATCAATAATGGATCAGCTAAAAAATGACCTGTATGAGCCTCTCCATAAAACGGCGCTAATCACATCACATATCGTAGGTTTAGAATGTTATTCTTGCACCACATGAGTTTTTTCTCAAAATCCATTTGCAAAAGTTGAATTTCCTGTTACTCCTCAGCTTCCGCAAGAGGACTCCACATTGAAACCAGTCATGGTGTGGATCCACGGTGGAGCCTTCACTCAGGGATCGAACGACACCAAAATGTACGGCCCTGAATACATCATGACCGAAGACGTTGTTCTAGTGTCCATCAACTATCGCGTGGGATATTTGGGATTCCTGAGGCTTCAAGACCCCTCGCTGGAAGTGCCCGGAAACGCTGGACTGAAGGATCAAGTGTTGGCTCTCAAGTGGGTGCAGAGGAACATAAAACAATTCAACGGGGACCCCAACAACGTCACGATTTTTGGTAGGTGGTGGTGTGAATGGTTGCAGCTCTTGGTCACTTTAGAAATATTCGCTAACAAAAAGCACATCTACTTTCTTCCGACTCAACTAACTATCTGGTTATAGCTGGTACCCTTTATCCTACTTTTGGCCTCTAATACCTGCAGGTTCATTCTAACAGTAGTTTACTGCAATTGATATAATCGTTTGAAATGTGACAATACAAAGCAATGTTTCCAAAACCTTCATCCCACAAACTGAACCAACTCTCGTCTTCAAGATCCTAGTGACGCCTAAGTTTTTGCCTACGCAAGTCACTCTGTAATCAGAAAGCTCGTTTTGAATGAAACGTTGGCAGATGCACCAAATAAAAGATCCCCAGTCGATGTCGTTTATTTTGACTTACAGATTTCCTACAATGGGAATTGTAAAGTGTATAAATTCAAGTTGTTATCACCGCTGAACGTAATCAGTCCAAGTGACAATCACATTCACGCCGAGCTTTTCCAGTTCGCCTTTCCCTTTCCTGGAAATCATCGTCCCGTCGGTTTTCACTACGATCACTTGCGGAAGGCAGGTTATGTTGAATTTCCACCGCAGCTCGTCGGAAGTATTGCTTTTGAACGGTACTGCACACCAAGGTCCTTGTTCGGAAAAATCCCGCGTGAAGGCTTTTTCGTCGGTGTCGGAAGACACGTAAATTATTTCCATTCCAGCGTTCCTGTTCTGATTTTCCTCGTACAGGTTCTTCAGATTTTTAACGAGATCGTCTGTCCTAACCCACGAGGCGGAGAAAAAGAAAATGAGAATTTTCGTGTCTTTCAGGTAATCGGACGTGTTCTGTAAAAGGCCGCCGCTGGTTAGAATGTATTTGCCTTTCAACATATCCATGATTTCCGAACGCGAATGAAGTAAATCAACAATACTTTTGACATTAACTTAATTCAAACGTTGAATAATAAAATATATACGAACGACAAGTAAGTAGCCTAATATTTTATGACGGAACAGACTGAGACGTAACTGCCAGTTGTCAGTCCTGCCATTGCACAGATCTTAGAATATCTTAAAACATAACGCCATCCACTTGGAAATAGGTATAGGGACAAATTTCGAAAACATTTGTGTTGAACTATCTTTATGTAGAAATATTGACGTATAAATATATTTGACATGGTTGTAGTTTCGTTGTGCAGTACTTGTGTCAAATGTTGTCAATAGTAAATAAACTATACTGGAAGTAGTAAAGAAGAAAGTAATACAAATCATGAAATTATGAAACAACAACAACAAAAATTAATTGGCGCTCCGGGGCGACTTGATTGATTCTAGTGGCGCATTTGCTTTTTCAGCTACAGGAAAAACCTGCAGCACCACATCATCTGAAGATCTTGATCTGCCGATGTTCCCTCTTTTATATGTTCTATCGTAATTGTTGAATCTGATACACTTGCTGTCATCTGTTATCATAATATGCAAATTGTTCTAAGTTGATTTGTGTTCTGTCATATTTCGATAGATGAGAAGAAGCAGAGATATAGGTTCTGGTTTTTGAGTGCTATGCACAGAACTGAAGTTATAGTTCTGTGGTGCTATGGCAACATAGAGAGAGAAGTATGAAGTAGTATTGGATGGCTGACAGTCGAAGTTTATTTGCTTGTTCTAATTCGTTTCATTTTCAATAAAACCAAAGTAAAAATCAAACATTCTGAACTATTAATTTCGAAAAATACTTCTTCAATGTCAACAATTATCAATTTTTTTCTGTTTTATTACTTACTGCATGGACAATCCGAAGCAGTATGGCTATTCATACATACAAACACATAATTTCTGGAGTGGAATAGAGTTCAACAGCAATTTTTGCATTTGTTGAGATCATCTACTTTAAATTTAGTGCTAAAACGCTTGCAAATATCATGGCGTCTGCCGATGACAACCAAAATGTGAAGTTGATGCAAAAACAGGCCGGGTATAAATAATAAACAATAAAATATATCTAATGAATCAACATGGCAACCTGTTTGAGCTTGTCACTTGATGAAGAGGCCTATTGATTCAATTTAACGAAGATATGTACATTATTTTATATATTTGAAATGAATTCTAATATTTACGATTGGTGGACACTTCCTCAGAGCAGAGGCAAGTTGATAAAAACTTCTAGTGGAGTTTTCATATTGGTGCCAAAAAAACAAAGGATGTTAGTGACCAAAGATTACAACAACTACGTTCAGATATGAAACAGTATACCTGGAGGTGATAATTCATAATGCGCCACAGTGGATATATAATTAACTACACTCTGATAAATAAAAATGGGAACTGTTTTATCGATAGTGAAATTTGGCGGTAAATTTTGAATTCTCAACAAAGAACTAGATTTGTTGATTGGAAAAATCAGTTATGGTGGAATTTTCTGCATTTTGAGGTGCTACTCATGATTTTCTAACAGATGATTAATTCAAAAGTTATATAACGTTAACAACTCAGTCAAAAAAGGTTTGAAATTGTATTGATAGAAATTGTTGGTCAGAAAGGCAAGCAAAACTACTAAAATGCCGCATAAATCCCTGTAGAACTTGCCACTGCCACTGCGAATTGTTCTAGAAATTTCTAGGCACCAAAACTTCCAGTCCTTATATTCAAAGGCACGCCACGTGTTTCACAATGATCTGGAATGTTCCCCTAACGTAGAATAGGTACTCCCGAATGTTCTTGACAGTTCTTGGAAATTTCTGGAAGGCGAAACTTCCAGCTTCTATATCTTCAGAAGCTCGCCCTACAGGTAAAAACGGGAACCTCCTTCATTAATGGGAGACAGAGGACTGCCTACCACACCATATAACTCTCGTGATCATACCGAGCCTCATTTCTGAGTTTTAGTGGCACACACAAATTGTACACAGTCTTTTATAAGGTATATTGGTTCATCGAAGATTAACAGGTTAACTCTCATCCTGTTTGTTTGAGGAAAAATAATAGAGGTGTTCCCTGATTAGGTTTCAATTGTTTACGCGTAAACATTGACATTTCCTGAAATTAAATTCTGATATGTAGAAATCAACAGGGAAAAATCAAACCTGACTCTTCAATTGTACTTGTGTTGAATTTGACAGATGTAATTCATCAACAAATAATTGAGCTAGAATTAAGTACATCACACTCGATGATGACCAGGTTCTACAAATCTTCAATTTTAAATAAGAAAACGGAACTGCGATGTCATACAGACCCTGTGAATCTTTTTCAATACTAAAATCTGTTTATGAAACAAATATGAAAGATATCTTGTGTAATTTGGAAACCTACCGCCTGATAGTTTGAAAAAATGACACTTTCTGTCAATTCAACCCACTGCGCCATATCTTATTAATGTATTTAAATTCAAACAACTCTCAACTTTTCTGAAATATAGAAAGATCTAACGTAATTGAACACACATAATGTATTCTGTTGAGATCATAAAGAGCTAAAAATGGTTTTTCACCTCTACACCAACTTTCTTATTTATCGTTTAGGTGAAAGCGCTGGGGGCGCCTCTGTCCACTACCAAATCTTATCACCGGCCTCGAAGGGTCTTTTCCACAAGGCTATTTCACAGAGCGGTTCGGTTTTGAACCCTTGGGCCTGGACGGATCCTAACATATTCGAATTTTTGGATTTTATGGAGAAAGGCGTAAAAAACGAGAAGACTGCTTTGGAAGTTCTGACTAACCTGCCTGTCAACGAGTTGTTCGATTACCAAGACAGATTTTTCCAGGTAAGATGATTTTTGGTTCGATTGATTGAGGCGTCAAAAGGGTAGCTACACCAAAGAAGCATTATCAGAGATCTCTCAAGTTGCTCCACAATGAAAGCTCAAGTGTTCAGCCCAGTCATTCAATTATTTGTCGTTGTATGGGTGGAGTTTAATAGCAATTGTTTTATTTGTTTACCCTCCACTTATGATAGAGCCAACTTCATTATTTTCATCCATTAGATTCAACCCCCGCTCAGGGTCGTAGGTCCTGTAATAGAAAAACCAAATCCGACTGCGTTCCTCACCAAAGATCCCATGGAAGTCATGATCTCCGGAGAATACAACAAAGTACCGATGATTTGGGGCTACACTTCCAACGAAGGAATGCTTTTCGTGCTCCTTCAAAAACTGGCCAAAGAAGGAAAGGCTAAAAAGATGGACGAGAAACCCAACTTGGAAGATTTCGTGCCACCAGACATGAAATTGGAAAGAGGTTGTTCTACAAGCCAGGAGATATGTAAGAAGATTGCTGATTTTTACTTCCAAGGAGAAAACGCCAAGAACCAGTTGTTGGTGAGTTCAACCATTAACTATTTATTAAAATGACCACTTCTCTAGTTAGGAATAAAGAAGCTTTGCATACAAAAAAAACATCTCAAGGCTTTTGATCTGAACCGTTTATTACAAATATTTGTTTAGAAACGTTTTGAGAGAATTTCAAAAGGCAGCTTCTATGTCATCATCAAGAGTGGACTTTGGTAAGAAGAAGAACGTCAACACAGCATTCCAAGAATAATTGAATAAATGAATTATTTAGTTTATTGGTATAGAAACAAATCATAATGTATTATTTTTAATTTTCAGTTGGCAAGCGATTACTATTTCATAACTGGCATAATAACTTCCGTTATTAATCTTGCAAAGACTTGTCACTATCCAATTTTCTTGTACCGGATGACTTGTGAAACAAATCTGAACCTAGTGAAGACACTGTTCAAATTGCAGGATATACCAGGTATAAATTGTTCAGTACTTTGTTAGTGTGCCATATTGTTGTTATTATGATTCTCCTGATTGTTATTGATGTTTTTCATGTATTTCATGCATTTTAATAGCAACAATTCAATTTTCCAAATCTACGTTACGTGGAGGTAGACAAATTGGAATTTGAACTCAGATCAAAAGATTTATATGGAAATATACATGCGGAAGAGGCGGAGTGTAATATATCAATTTGTTCCTTAGGTGTAAACATCTAGGGTTGGATGTTTAGTCATTCCCAAACCATTTTCGCTTTGCCGGGACAATAAACTCTTCAGTCTTCCATATCATTTCACAATTACTCACTCCCAAATTATTTCACGTTGTCAGTCAGATCCAGAATAATTCGACGTTGCCGGAACGTTAGTCACTTTCCTCCTATCCTAACGTATACTAAAACCAATAATGATTGAGAGTAGAAGTAAGCCCAGTTGACAGCAAATCGGGGGCGTGCTTATTAATTTTTGAGAGGGTTAAGAATGAAAGAAAAATTCTTAGTACAATTAGTTAAAATATTCATACACATTTTTTATTTATTTCATGAAAACTTTGCAATATCGTAATTTACCTAATCGTTGTAGTCATTAGGTGGGCCTTATGAAAACGGAGTAATAATCGTGGTAATTATAGTAGGTACCAAATAAATTAACAATATTAATAAAAAACACAATATATATAACTTTTTTTCACTATTGGGTTGCAGCAATTGATAAGTGAACTCTTTATAACTATTCTCAAGCTTTCGAGTAACTTAAACTCATCGTCAGGAGTACTAGAAAATACAAATTACAAATTTTTGATAATATAGAATATAATATAAATGTAAATGTACAAATTTTCGTCTAATCTTCAACCTCAGATTCGTCACTGTTGCTACCGCTATCATCAAAGTGAATTATGATTGGTTCAATATTGTGTTCAATACGGTTGTCTACGTCCCACATTTTTTGCTCCTCTTTTAAAACATACTGCATGCATTTTTTCCAGTCTTCTGCAGAAACAGTTCGAATAGCTTCTTGTAGGTGATGTTGCACGTCCACTAATTTAAATATTCTGTTTTCTCGTGCCACATATCATTTTACTTGCGCCCAGATTAATTCTATTGGGTTTAATTCGCAGTGGTATGGTGGTAACCTTAAAACTGTAATTCCACGACTTAACGTCATTTCATCCACTGCGAAGTAAAAATCTAGACAAGTTTTGAGTAACCGAATCTCTGGAGCTGATGATCGGTCTAAGCGGAACGTCCTTCTTGTGGATTTTGGGTAGTCCATACAAGTGAGGGGGCTTACTGTGGTGCGGTGTTAGCCATGATCTTTCCTTGTCCGAATAATAGACTTGGTGTTTTCTCAAAATCTGGTACAACTTCCTTTCGATTGATGCAGTAGGGTCCCGTACGATCTTTGTGTATCGTCCCTTCTGAAGAACCTCTTCGATCTTCTGTTCGTAGAGAACGGTATCCATTACCACAGTAGCGTTTCCTTTATCTGCAGGTAGGATCTTGATGGTGTTGTCTCTAGGCCGTTCAGAGCTCTACGTTCTTCATTGCTGATGTTAGATGTTGGAACTGGTTCTCGATCCAGCTGTTCTCTAATTTTCCATCTGAACTCTTCTGCCTCGGTCTGGTCAATAAGGGAACTGGTGGATTCCACTGCAGAAATTATCTCCAAAGTGGGCACAGATGTTGGCGTAATGGCGAAATTCAGGCCTTTCCTCAACAAGGATTCCTCTATTCCCGTGAGCGGGAATAGAGGAATGTTTCATTTAATAAATTGGTTAAGGCTTTCGCGGCCGAGATTTTCAGTGTTACTATCTTCATTCGGGTCTAAAGACCGTCGTAGTTTGGAACTGCATCCTGCATCTGATGACCAGTGATCGATGAATCATCAAGATGAATAAACCTCTGAAGAAGCCAGCCACTCGTGCTGGCGAAACGTCAGGATACAGTTCCAAACTACGACGGCCTTCAAACCCGAATTGTAACACTGATGTTTCATTTGGTTATCAATAACAGTCATAAATGTTTTCAAAAACTCTTCAACTTATTCTCATAAAAGTTATATTTCATTGAGATCAACCAATTGAAATAGTTTCTGCGATTGATTTTCAGGTGTTAGTCATGGTGATGATGTCGGTTATCTATTCAAACACAGTTTCTGTCCTGACGTGGAAATCGGAGAGGTCGAAATCGTTTGTCTGCGGAGGTTCCTGAAATTATGGACGAATTTTGCCAAGTATGGAAATCCGACTCCGGAGAAAAACGATTTGAATATTCAGTGGAAACCTGTGGATGGAGAACACGTGAATATCTTGGATATCGGAAAAGAACTCGTCATGGAAACTAATCCCGAAGATGATAGAGTGCGTCTGTGGAAGGAGATTTACCAGCTGAGTCCTGCTACTGCAAGTTATTTGTGAAGATATTACTTTTGTTTTTATTGTTCTGTGATTGACCAAATTATTATATATTAGACTTTTCTCACGGTTCATATACTGATAGTCCAGGCTCAATTCAGGTTACATCTATTTGTAATAAAAAATCGGTCTTATTTGTTATAAAAATCGTAAAATTATACTTCAAAAATCAGTCTGTCTCTCATTGAAATGATAATCCAATCAATCTATACCTATAAATGTGAGAGTCACTCACTTAACACTTACTCAATCATCTCTGTTCCTCCGTACTGGTTAGTGCTAGTTTTACAATAACTAGACTGTCTAGTTGTAAAACCACCAGTAGATGGCAAATGAGACTGTCGAAACGTTGTGAAAATAATCCTTATGAGGATAAGAAACACAGAACACGGAGCGATACCCGAAGTGAAATCGTCAGTGAAGAATTCATCTGCAGTATAATAAAGTTTTTCAATAAAAGTTCCTTCACTTTAAGTTGAAAGGGTATATTTTTAGGGGAGAATAATTTTTGGGAAAGTGGAAGGCCAAAAAGTGTCTTTCTCAAAAATTAAAAATAAACCCTTTCAATTTAAGCAAGATTCCTATGGCTGGGATTTAGATAGATAGATAGATAGCACTTTATTTCCAACAGGTGTACACCCAATCACAGGAAATATTAAAGAAAATATACTGGAAAAAATAACATTCAATTCAATTGATAATAATAATAATACACGTTTATATTTTATCGAGTGGATAGGATATAAAAATCAAAAATGAAACAATTAGTGGACACAACACTCCAAAAGTGGGGCAAACCGCGGACACGTGTTTCTGGCTATTGGCCTCATCAGCGCGGTGCAGCCAAGTGTAAAGATGGGCAACACTTGTTTGCCGACAGCAGGAAACAACACAAACGAACGGAGTCAACAACAGGAGCCAACCGCACATTTGTGGTTTCAGTTAGAAGACCTAGAATTCCCAGGCTACATCTAATATGACCACGTAGGCAGCTATAGCTACCTGCGTGACATCCTGGACCCGGATGTCTATAGTTGAAAAAGGCTTGAATATTACGGATATCGCTTTCTGCTTGAATTTCAAGTGATAGCCAGTATTCATGACTGTAGAAAATTGCAATATCATCTGCATAAGTAATAATTTGACCACTTGCGTTTATTCTGAATAGATCATTCAAATATATATTGAACAGAAGTGGTCCCAAAACAGTTCCTCGGGGTACACCATATTCTATTCTTTGAAAATTGCTCCTTACCATCTTCAGTTCAACACATTGAAATCTATTGGAAAGATAACTTTCGAATAATTTTAAGGCCACTCCTCTTATGCCGATGTTTTCCAAGCATTCCAGAAGCAAGTCATGACTGACCGTATCGAATGCCTTTGAAAGGTCTATGAATACACATAGAGAGGGTTTTTCTGTATCTAAGGCATTATACATCTTTGTTGTAAGGGCTTTGTTGTTAAATTCACATATTACATATTCAATTGACAAATTGCAAATGAAATTAATAATATAAATGAAATAATATAATTAGATTCAATTGACATATTATGAATGAATTAGCCTTCATAAGGTTGACATAGAACAATTGAAAATTATATGTATAAAAAAACTATAAATGTAAGGTTCTATGTACCTAAGATATAATACTTGATAAAGTTAAAAGAGTTTCCATTAATGTCGCACATGTTACATACTGAATTAAAATTATAACACATTAAATTTACTGGTGCTTTGAGATTCACATTCGTTCTACTACTCAATGAAATGTTTTCTCGTATCTTGAGTTGAAGCGTGGTACATGAAAATTTATTTTTTGTAGGAGCGGAGCACAATAGATGTTATTATTTATTAAATTATATGGAAATGTGACCGTTATGAGGAGTCTACGTGTATTAAGTGATATAATGCTGTATGTGAGAATTATAAATGGGATTCCAGAACATCGCCCCATATTCTAGTTTGGACCTCACATAAGCATAGAATAGCGTGATTATCACCTCTAAATTTCCATTTTTCACGAGCTTTTCAATGAGCCCATACACGACATAGGTTTGCATTTGAAAAATAAAAATTGGGGAGGGTTGCAGCTAAGGGGTTGAAAAAAATATTTAATTTTATTGCCAAAAAATGCGTACAGCGTGAAATCAACTGAGTGTTTCAGCGTTTTTTCCTAAAATACTGGTTAAAAAGATATTAATTTCATTCCGGACTTTTGCACACCCCTGTATAAACACTTTTAAAGAAGTTAACGAATGCATCCATAATTTCCTGCGGTTTTAGTTTCATCCTTCATTTTCATTTTCGAGTTACCTCTTTTGTTCTGCATGAAATTCCAAAATGAACTTTTGATGCACTGTTTGGAAACTTTGGTGTAGTAATGGATATTACTGAAGTTTTTTCCCAACAATAAACCTTTATTTCAACACTTCGACGCGTGTTTCTATAACCAAGTGATTATCTTCAAGAGGAAAATTAAACTAAATATACTTACAATGTTATCCTTATTTATACCACAGATAACACTTCTAGGTCCCTGTCTTATGTAATAGTCAGGTAAATTTTCTGACAATAATGAAGTTTTTTTATGAATTCATTATGGAATATTTCTGTGGTAATTTCGTTAGGAGCACCTCTTATTCTAACCATAAGCTCTGAAGTAGACTACGTTTGTGAAAACATAGGATTTCACCAATCCTCAAAAGTCTAAGAGGAAACATATGTAAGTCTAAACCGGACGGTCGGTTTTTTAGACACATCCACACCTGTTTACCACTACTCAGATTTTATCAAATATTATCGAGCCTTTATATATAGACTATCATATACGTACACGTCTGTTATCCGAAACCCTCTTCAGTGCAACCTTCAAGTTGTCGCATCGTTCGTCTGAACCACCTGACAATCGTGTTTTTAGTTTGCCAAACATGGCGTCGCCAGTAGTCACTATTTCGGAGGGACAAGTCAGGGGTTGCGTTAAGACCGATTTTGACGGGAGTCAGTTTTATTCTTTCCTCGGCATTCCCTACGCTAAACCCCCAATTGGAGAGCTCAGATTCAAGGTAAGTTATGAAATGGATTTATTATAATATTACTGGCGAAATGTTTTCATTAGGGACGAGTTTTGTAAACTCTTCCCAAAGGTCAAGGGCTTGGTGAAGTATTTCCACAGATAGGTATACCGCATTGAAATTCGGGCTGAAGATTGTAAACGGAGTATAAGGCGTTTTATCAAAACGAGAGAATTGCAAGAAAGTGGAAAAAGCGACACGAAGAAATCGAGATACGCAGAGTATTACAAATTACTAAATTGGATGGCCAAAAAACTGTGCTTCGTGGTACTTTTGTTATCTCGCTTTCAAATAAGGTTTTCTGGGTACTGAATGTGGCGGGAAGTTCATATTTTCATTATTTGTTTCTTGAAAATTCCGGCTTCAAACTCGTAAATTCGAAATTATTATCGAAATTTAGACGAGATTGAAGTCGTTATTTTGAAATTACGAGATTCAAGTCGAAATTTCGATATCAAAGTAGTAATTTCAAGTCCAAAGTCGAAATTTCGACGAGGTCAGTCATAATTTTGAAATTTGAAAGCCAAGCTTCAACATTTCGACTTTGAATTCGAAATTATGACTTGAAACGCGAAAGTTTGAATTTCTAAAATAACTGTGAGAATCAATTTTTGTATTAAGTTCGGGCCAGAATTACTATATAGAGAAGATTGCGAAATACAGTCGACTTTCGACGAGGGGGCACCTGAAGAAAGGGAGAAGGTGTGGTTGCAAACTAGGTTGGCACCAGTGATATATGACAGCAAATTTGACGTTACCGAGTTTGAATTTTAGAATGAGTTTAGTTTATGGGAGGTTTATGAATTTTCCTAAAATTTCTTCTAAAATTTATCGATAATGAGTGTTTCACAGTTCATTTATTATCTTTATAGTTACAGTGTAATGTTTCAATATAACCAGGACATGAGTGCTGTGTAAATATATGTTGAACAATTATCAGCAGTGCAAGGCACAAATATTCTTTATCTAAAAAGATATCATTCTAGTTTTCCAAAATAATAAACTTTTGTCCAATTAAATCAATCTTATAGGTCTCACCGTTTCCGAGATAACAATCGTGGTATTAGTTTAAAAACGGCCTGTACTCGTATATGTTTATATACGTCCTGAAGGTGAACCATATGAATTGATTTCGTATGTATATATTTTCCGAGTTTATTTTAAGAATGTGTTGAATAAAATGTGTAGAATATATATAGGGTCTTTCATTATAAGCGCTTCCTACTTTTAAATTCAAATAAAAGTGTGTGTGAGATATCGTGAAAATATTTGGTAATATTCGTTTTGAGGGCACCCGGCGATTTTGAAAAACTTTTTAAGTGTACTTACGTATTTTGATGCGTAGATTACGAATCCAAAAGAAAAAAGCGGCGCTCTCCCTTATTTACAGAGTTACGGCCCTTCAAAGTACAGAAAAGGGCAACTTTTCAGCCTTCTTTTTCACAAAATAAACTATTTAAAAACACAAGCATTTATTTACTACGTCACCTTTACATCTTATTCCTTCTTTCTTGACACTTTTCACTTCAACAATCAACATTTTTCCAATAAAAATGTACGGTGCTGCTTTTTGGTTATATATCTCTGTATTTTACGTTTTCAAGATTAATGGCATAGTTGGTACGACTGATGATGTCAATATTCCTGAAGTAATTCAAATGTGTTTTGCCTTCATTCTTTAGATCGTAAATTGTTTTTTCTAATCACTCACGTCAAACTAAAAATCCAAATCTATGAATTTGAAATAGTAGGCGGCGGCAAATACCGACCGCTTTTTTCTGAAATGTCACTAGTAACTAACTTAGAATGTCACCAGAAGAAGCAATCGTTTTCAAATTGAGTTGTTTTAAAAGAAAAATGTTGATTGTTGAATTGAAAAGTGTCAATTAAGCAGGAATAAGGTGTGAAGGCTTCCCCCACCTTTTCATCGGTGGGGGAAGCGGCTATAGATTTTTAAATATGTAAAAATATACTGTTGAATGGACATACTCGAGCGCGTCAGATATTGATACCATCAATGTCCTACGTATTTTTGATAATGTTGGTATTTTAATCTGATCGTTTGCATGATGTGGGTGGTTATACGTAAGGGTTAAA